GTGAATAGCTGGGATCTATTCACAAATGTCTCAGAAATGCCACTAGTCATTGCCTGCCACTTGAAAAAAGACCCATTCATTCCTATTTTTTGTTTTGTGCCTGCCAACCAGTTCTCAATCCATGTCAGGACACTTACCCCAATCCCACTTTCATTTAAATGTTAATCTCTTATATGGGATCTTATCAAAAGTTTTCAGAAAAGTCCAAGTAAACCACATCAATTGGTTTCACCTTATCAACTCTACTAGTTACATCCTCAAAAAATTCCAGCAGATTTGTAAATGCATACTACTCTGTCCAATTCTGTAACTACTTTTCAAGGACTCTACTATTAAATCTTTTATAATGGACCCTAGCATTTTTTCACCACTGATATAACTGCTATTGGTCCATAATTCTTGTTCTTTTCCTCAACCTTTTTTTAAAAAAATAGTGGGGTTACATTAGCAACCCTCTAACACATAGGAACTATTCCTGAGTTACAGAAACTTGAAAGATGACCACCAACCATCCAATACTTCTAGGGCCACTTCCTTAAATACTCTGGAATATAAATTAGGGCACCTTGGGGATTTATCAGCCTTTAATGCCATCAATTTCCTGAACATTTCTTTCCTAATTCTGATTTTCTTTAGTTCCTCCCTCTTACTCGACCCCATGTTCTTCAATATATTTGAAAAGTTACTGGTGTCCTTCTTTGTGAAGACAGAATTGTAATTGGTCTGCTATCTCTTTGTTCCCCATTATATCCCTGTTTCTGATGTAAATGACCTACATTTTACTTCACTAATGTTTTTCTCTTCACGTACCTACAGAAGCTTTTACATTCAGTTTGTATATTTCCTGTAAACTTATTCACTGTGTTTGCTATGTTTTGTGTTTTTTTTCTGTTTAATTATATGCAAAGACTTCATAGAAATTCATAACTCAATTCAAGCAACTAACACGAATTTGTTACTACTATATTAAATCACAGTTTACTTCACTTCTCACAATTAGTGACAAGTTATTCCCATTGCAATGAAATTTCAACGGTGATAATTGAAAGGTTCTGTTTCAATTCTCCAGCTAGGCAATAATACAGCACAATACCATTCCTTGTATTTTACTGTAACTGGCAGGAGAAAGTAACATAACATATTCCTCTCACATTCAGGGCTCCTCATTTTTTGTGCCCTTGCTCATTCTTTTGCCTTATTTATAATTCTCTGACAATTTCCATTGCTAATACCATTTCATTTAAATTTGAGAATTTAAGCTACCTTCTTCTGTATCCACCTACCCTCTTTCCCATCCTATTTCTGGTACATGCCTGCTCTACAGTTACTCATCATGGATTATTTATTGCCCCCGCTTATTCCACTCCCTGCAACTCTCTCAATCTTGCTCGTTGATTTTTTTTTCAGGTGCCCCATCTTCCTAGAATCTATTCACAGCCCTTGCACCTATTTTTGACCTTGTTACCATTCGTATTCTCCCCTCACCCACTCCTCTTCAGCACAAGTTTTTTTCCACCCACCTCCAAAATCATAACCACAGTATCACAACTTGCACTAAGCTGAGAAATCAGAATTACAACTTATAAAACTGAATGGTTATAGATAAAAAAAAAAATTTTTTTAATCTATTTTAAAAGAAAACAAATGTGGCCCATTTCCTACCTGCAAACAGGTAAATAAATTCTAGGTGAAAAGAAACTGCAATCTCAAAACACAATGTGGGAGCCATAAGTAGTGCATGATGCAGGAGCAGATCTGGACCATATGACCCTTCAAGCTTGTTCCACCACTCAATACAATGATGGTGGTTCATTTTCCCACTCAAATTCTCCATGTTGTTTAATACCCTGAATGACCAAAATCTTTCTCTATCTTAAACAAACAGAATGATGAAAGCAACAAAAACAAAAGCTGCTGGGAAAGTTCAGCAGGTTCTGAGGAAGGGTTACCGGACCCGAAACATTAACTCAGATTTTTTCTTCACAGATGCTGCCAGACCTGCTTAACTTTTCCAGCAACTTCTGTTTTTGTCCTGAGTTACAGTATTCGCAGTTCTTTCGGTTTTTATTTAGAATGACAAAAGCATCCACTATCGCTGTGACAGGCAATTCCAAAGATTAATAACATATTGTGAGAAGAAATTTCTTCTCACCGCAAACCAGAATGTTCAACACTTTATCCTGAGACTCTACCACTGTGTTCTAAATTCCCAGGCAGGGGTTAAAACTTCTTTGTCTATTCTGTCAAGCCCATGTAGGATCTCATATTTCATTGAAACTTGAGACAGTATAGGCCCCAATTTACTCAGCCTCTGATCACAGGACAACACTCTCATCCCAGAAACAACTGGAGTGACTTTTCACTTTCCCATCTACAAGGCTTTCCCTAAAAATGAAGATCAAATATCACATAGTATTCCAGATGTAGAATCAAAGACCTTACAATCTGGCACCAAGTATCCATCCTCGCCAAGAACAGCAACAGTTTAAGGCAACAGCTCACAAACTGCAGGGCAACTAGGGGTGGACAATAAATGCTGGTCTAGCCAGGGACAGACGGATGAATGATAAAATACCAATTCCATAGCCATAAGAGCCAACATGACTAAGTCTTTCTAATTGAATGCCTGACTTGCAGGTTAACTTTCTCAGTTTCTTATGACAAATAGACACATAGACCAATGAACATTAATTTCCATGCCTTTTATTTATTTTTAAATAACCAAAGCAAGTAACCACAAACCTTCTCAAATTATATTGCATCTGTCACCTTGTTATCCATTCACTTAAACCACATACAGCTGTTTGCATCCTCTTCAGTTTACAGTCCCACCTGGCTTTGTATCATCAGTAAGCTTAATCCCTGATACAATCTCTAATACTGATTAGAGGAAGTAAACGATTGAGGAGCTAGCACTGGGGTCAGGAGCCTGGTGAGTGGAAGTTCCCTGGCTTCAGGCTTTACTCCTGGGGTTGGGGGGTGGTGGGATTCAGGGAGGGGGAGTGGTTTCAAGTTGGAGGGTTAAGACAGTTGTCAACAGCAAGAGGACCAGGGAGTCGAAAACAGTATTGGCCCTTGGGTACTGTAAGTGGAATGTTGTCTTTTAAAATATCTTAAAGTCTATTTTAAGTTACTTAATTCATCATTGCAGGAATTTGGTCATGTCAATTATTTCAACTTACAAGGTACAATTTCTTTTTCAGATAAGGAAGCCAGAAAGAAACCAACTCCAATTTTAACACTGACTACTCTGGAAACCATATTTCACTTAGTCATTTTTCAGGAATATTGCCACAACTTTAAGTGAGCACTTCAAATACATTTGGAGCCATTGTAACTTGTTTTGAATTATATATTCAGAACTGCTTACATACTCACAAAACAAAATATGTATTTTTAATGAGTAAATAATACATATTAACACACAAAATATAATGTGACGATACTCCCTACACTTCAAATAACTCAAATACACGCTTAAGCACTCTCTGATGTTTATTTCAATCACACTGCTAGTGAAAGCATCCTGTAGAAGGTTTCAATAGATTGAAGTTAAAACAACTGTTGATACCCAATACAAAAAGTAAAATATGGGATACTGGAGGATTCTAATAAAAGATCACAGACTAGAAACATTAGTTTCATTTCTCTCTCCACAGATGGTGTCAGGCCTCCTAAGGTAATTCCAGCATTTTTTTTCTTGTACATAGCATTACAAGTGAGGCAGGAAGACAGGACCATTGCTCCAGTTCCACTATTTTATGGGTCCAGCATAAAATAAAAATATTTTTCCAGTTACCAAGATGACCAAAAATACCTCATCTAAATCAGGTTTTAAACAAAAACATCACCAACCCATGTTTCCTAATACAAGAAAAGGAGATCGTTTAGAACAGTTAAGAAACAGGTTATATCAACGCAAGAAGTTTATCTTCAATCTTCCAGACTAGTGTGTTTGGTTACAACGACTAAAGGGACATGCGAGTTGAGAAAAGTGTAAGCTCAGTTATATTCAGACTTGTAGAAGAGGCTACCCAGAAATTGAAGCATTTATCAACTTAAACCCTACAACCCAAGGGAAGTGAATTCTCTCTGGTGCAAGGACTATAAAGAGACACTTCTGGCATTAATGAGATTTCCTCACCAAGATGGCGGTAGAGTAGCTAAGCTCATTCCCTTCTGTCCACTTTTATTTCTTTTATTCCCTTTCTTTTCATTTTTGCTTTTGTTTGAGGTCTTTTGCTTCAGCGAGGCATTGGTGACAGGCCTTGCCCGAATATGTTACAGGACCCAGCGACTGGAAGCTGCGTGCGAGCCCTGCCCAAGCATGTTCTGGGAGGTGGCGAGGGACCCAAAGACAACAAGCAACAACCAGGCTTTGCCTGAGCATATTCCAGGATCTGGCGATCGGAGGCTGCAAGTGGACCCTGCCCCAGCATACACCAGAACCCAGTTGTGGCACCAGTAGTTAGAGAATTGGAGGCAGCCGCAGCAGCAGGAGATCGGAGACGGTAGCATCAGCAGCAGAAAGCACTCAAGTCCTCCCAAAACTCCAGGCTGGACGCCTGTATGGAGGTAAGGCTTAAATAAGACTTTAATATAATTTGGACAGTTCTCATTCCTTCTGGCTTTGTTCCTTTCTTTTCTGCTTTTTTAAAAATTTTGGTTTTGTGAGTGTGTAACCAAGATGGTGTCGGTTACGTTGATGGAGGCGAGATGATACTGAAGAGTGGCAACTTTTGTTCCAGCGTTGGCAGCTCTGCGAACTAGCTACCAAGCACACGGTCGATGACGGAGCACTTAACAAGAAAGACTGTAAAGTTGTACACTTCCTTTATTTTTCTGCCTTTATGTTTTGGTTAATGTTTCTGTATTTTAAGACAGCACTGGAGAGTGGGGACACTATACAGCACTTTTCACAATATTTTGTACAAGATACACGTGACATACTACGGCTTTAAGAGGTTATTTTATCCTGGCTTTTTTTTTTAAAAAGGAAGGTTTTAAGGGATGTAACTATATTGGTACAGTTACTGTTTAATAGCTTACTAATCTATTATTCTGTTAAGCTTTCCAATAGAGTGACAGCTAAGCCAATTCTTTTCTTTATTCTTTCTTTTGTTGTATTTTAACTAGAGAGTGTATGAATAAAATGTGTTTTGGTTCAAATCTGGTAGTTTGGCCAATTGAATTGCATCTGCAACACAGCATCTTACACTTACCTTTAAAATAAGAAGTAGTTACAGTTGCGACTATCTTCCCAGTATATTGAAGAATCTGGTCTGGTCCAGAACACAATAAATAAATCAATCAATCAAACTGATTGTATTTTACTGTCTACTTCTAAATCTTTAACTTGTATTACATGTGAAACAGTTTGGTTTATTTGACTTCATCTTCATTTCTTTTGCAAAGCAAACCTTCGATTTAATGTTCAAAACAGATCTAAAGGATTGCGTGTTTGTGTTTCAGTGAAAGATCACCTCAATAAAAAAAAGAAAAAGCAAAATAATATCCATCAAGCAAGATTTCAGACTAGGGTCTTATTTATCCATAATAACATCAACTGATATCAGAATTGAATAAGTTTTGTTTTAATAATGTTAAGATGCAATAATTGGTTAGCACAATCAGCAATGTAGAATTATAAATTCTTATGT